TAAGAGAAAACTCCTCTTCATTGCATACATACTGGAAAATATAAATTGAAATGAGATTGCACCATTTAGATTAATTAATAATTCAAGTTGCTTGTTGTACCTTCTCACTGATCATGTCATACAGCATCGTGACAATACGTGTACGTAGAATTCCACCTCCATCAGCCCTGAACAGCTCTGACAGGACCTGCAGCCCACCATGTGACAGAAAATGATGCTGTGCGTAGGGGAAGTGACGCAGGAGGGAGGCGACTGCAAACAGAACCTAAATGGAGGGCAGGCACACACAAACATTACAGCTGAAGCATATGCATTTCTATGCACCTTGATGGAAGTAAGTGGGTGTATGTACCTTCTTTTTGACATTGAGCGGCTGTGCAGTGGCCAGTGTGGTTAACAGGGTCTGCAGGGCGCCACTCTCCACAGCTTTCACCTGAACCACTGGATTACTGCAGGACACAAACACAGCTGTGAGAAAGTTGACGGCAACACTGATGCACACAGTGAACTGTGGACGCAGAAACACAAGATTTTATATTTTGAATCAAGCCAACTGTTATGAAGTAACAACAGCAGCAGGCTAGGGGCGCCAAAGTGCTCTATACATGCTATATACACATGTGGACAAAATAGTTGGTACCACTCGGTTAATGAAAGAAAAACCCACAACGGTCACAGAAACAACTTGAATCTGACAAAAACAATAAGAAATAAAAATTCTATAAAAATCAGACACTGCTTTTGAACCGTGGATTAACAGAATTGTTTTAAAAAATTAACTCATGAAATAGACCTGGACAAACATGATGGTACCCCTAGAAAAGACTGAAAATAATGTGAGTAGTGTGGTCACTGTGCTGTTTGGTGACATGATGTGGACCACACTGGACATGGACCAGAGGAAGCCAAGGAGAGAGTTGTCTCAGGAGGTTAGACAGAACATGATAGAGCAGCATGTTAAAGGTAAAGGCCTGCCTTCTATGAGCCCTGATCTAGATCCTGTTGAACATCTGTGGAAGGAGCTGAAACATGGCGTCTGGAGAAGGCACTAGGGCTGGTCCGAATAGCAATTTCTGATCTTGCTAAAAAACCAATGTGTCACAAACATGGAGGTCAAGACCGATCGGAAAACGTGAAAATCCAATGATTTTTTTGTTTTCTTCAGTTTCAGCTTTGGATAAATTATAAATGAATGATGTGGTTATGCAGCAGTTACACTACATATAACTATTGTATTTTGATATGAAATATGAGGAGTGTTTTTTTTAACTGTGTTCAAAGTGAAATGTCGTTATCCTGGCACGGTGTTATAATGAACATGTTGCTGTTCGTACCTGGCTGAAGCAGATCCCAGGACAAAGGCAGACCTTTCCTGGAACCTGAAGTCAGAGCTGTTCAGACCTTCTAGAATGAACTGAAGACCCCCCATTGAGCACAGCGTCTGAGCGTTGTCCACCTAACACACACAAAAGCATGCACGGAGAGTTAGAAACCTGAATGTCTCAGCCCCTCTGAAGGGCAACATCTTCACAGGAGCTGTATTTGAACGTACAGTGAATAAGTTCTGTCACCTGATGCACCATGTACTCCAGCTCCAGCAGGATGCCAAGTCTCTGCTCCGTCGTAGAGTTGCTGCTGTTAAACTGGTCCAGCAGGCGTCTCATGATCTAGACAACAGCACAAAACGTCATCCTGCTGAACCAGGCACTGAACACATCATGAATAGACATCAGCGTCACACTCAGCTGCTTTCTGACGACTGTAATAGGAAACAACAGTTTCAGAGAAAACTTGCTGAATGGTGACTTAGTTCAGTTCACTTATAGAGCGAG